GGAAAGGGAGCGTTCTTTCCTCCATTGCCATTCAGTAATTAGCAAGTGAGTTGACCTGTTGTAAGTGTTGAAACTAAAGGCCACTTTCACTTTCAAAACGATTCTGGATTGAGAGGAAAATAACTGTCATGAAGTGACAGTAGTTGTTTGGTAGAGAATATACTCTTTTCACACTACTCATAAACTTTTCATCCCAAGTTTCAGCGGTTTGTGATGTTAGTTACGTGGCAGAATCGTTCATAATTCTGTCTAATGAAAATTACACACAAAAATTGTAAGACTTGGTATAACTATATTATTACAGTAACTACACAATTTTCCAGAAGTTAAGGTGCAACATCTTGATTTCATGAGAAAATGTATTTTACAACGTTGTAATTTTGTATGATGTGATTAATAGAAAAGCTCATGATTTGTAATTCAAAAAGTAAGCATAAAGTGCCAGCTGTAACCCTTAGTGGGTTATGCGCATGTCATACGAAAACATGAACTTGTCACCAGTTTGCCAAAACATAAAACTGTTATGAATTTGGATGTGCATTTTTAGAGGAAGAATTAAGTGCTAACAAATTGTGTGCCATCAAATCTTAGAAAGATATTCAAGTTTAACAGCAAAATATAATTGCTGTTATAACATTTGATTGTTTATATTCTGCTTGTTTTAGAGTTATTTCTATGATATACTGTAATATCTGAGGTGTGGCACCACCTCACAACCAGCAGACATCATTATCCCCTTCGTTTTTGACTTCTCCAGTATCTAAATGCCTTTAGTCCTATACTTGCTTTGCTAGTGTTTTACTAGTGTTGGCCTGGCAGTGTGTGATTATGCTGTGTTGGTTGTTTCCCTGGTGTCTCTGGTTTTGACCTCGTTCTGAGTTCTGGATGTGAGCTTTGGATGATTGAACTGCTTCTACATGTACATTTGGATTCTTGCCTGCACCCTTAACTTTTGTTCTCTAAATGAATCTGCATCTTAAATATCTGTCAGCATTGCTACAAATAGTATGTTCTTGAATACATTTGGACTCAGGGCTTTAAGTGTTTTCTACTAAATGTGTGCCATCTGTGACAAAGGGTGCGTTTCATATTATTTACTCTCTGATTAACTACCATAGTATGATGCATAGCTGGAGAAACTAACCATCTAGTCACGACTGTTTCCCAAAACTACAGTAACATGGTCCACATTGAACCACATTGGTCCAACGATGTAGGACTGTCATTATTTGGTTTCACGTGCATGTAGTTGAGTAATAACTTCTGCTGATCAGTGTATTCGAGATCTCCGAGATGCTGCTGTAGTGAACATGGCACAATGACTACTTCACTGTTTTTGATTCATGTCATTTTTCTCTATTTGATGTTTGAGTTACACTTTGTTTTGATGGTCCCCTTTAGACATTCCGTTGACTACAATTAAAGTTGCTCCTACATGTCAACTAAAGGGTTAGTTCACCCAAAAATGATGTCATTAATGACTCACCCTCATGTCGTCCCAAGCCCGTCAGACCTCTGTTCATCTTCGGGAACACAGTTTAAGATATTTTAGATTTAGTCCGAGAGCTTTCTGTCCCTCCTTTGGAAATATATGTACGGTATACTGATTGACAACAGAACCGGAAGACAATACAATGCTGAATAAAGTCGTAGTTTTTGGACCAAAATGTATTTTCGATGCTTCAAAACATTCTAACTAACCCACTGATGTCACATGGACTACTTTGATGATGTCTTTATTTCCTTTCTGGACAAGGACAGTATAGCGTACATACATTTTCAATGGAGGGACAGAAAGCTCTCGGACTAAATCTAAAATATCTTAAACTGTGTCCCGAAGATGAACGGAGGTCTTACGGGCTTGGGACGACATGAGGGTGAGTCATTAATGACATGATTTTCATTTTTGGGTGAACTAACCCTTTAACTCTAATATTAGAGTATTAGTTACAATATATAGATTCAAATGTATATTTAAATAGAATGAAAGATATAGAATGTACTGAATGTTAGTTTGCTTATTGTGCCCAAAAACATGATCAATTTAAATCCACGTCATTTTACTCTCATTTAACTCTTAACTCTTTTTAAATAACGTCATTGACGGAATTTTACGGCTTTCTGTGTTTTCACTGTTATACGGTAGGGGGCGCTATAACACATCTTCTGATAGAGGGATGAATCTCCTGATCAAAACACAGCGAAGAAGAAGCAGAAACAAGTGATATCATATGTAAGCAGGTGCATATGTAAAAATGTGCGATCATCAACATTAAACAGCATTTAAATCAAAACAGCCTAAAGTTACTGAATGAAATGTCGACCCAGGACGAGCTCTAGGACTGTGAAGCTTTGGGGGTGTTGATGGACTGTAGTCTGTTCTTTCTTTTGACATTATGCATGTTCAGATATTCACACAACAAAATATTCTGGGGGCCATGAAACTTTTGTGAAAATGATTAAAAATACCGGCGGGGAAAGGGTTAACAAGAAACGAAGTTTCTAAACACAGCTCGAGAGCTGTCGCTCCAGCCATGTAAGTTTGCGAATGTTCGTCGGAACTATGGTTTCGGGAAACGGCAAGCCGTTGAACTATGTTGATAACAACAGAATTTGTGACCATAGTTGGGATAGTACGATGCTTTCGGGAAACTAATCCCTGCTTGGTAGCGTCTGTCATCCGTTGATCAGTTTTCTTCACACAGTGAGTCTGGATCATATCTGCGCTAGACTGTGGTGCACTGTAAGCTTTGCTCATGGATCACAGTGCCTCAGGAATGCTGACCATATGAGAATTTGCATACGAGCTGCTTCTCCTTTATATTCCATGCACAAACTGAGCAGATTAATATGTTATATTAAAATCCAGCTATTTAGAGGCCCTTCCAGAAAGACAAAAAAAACTAAATATTACTGATTAGATAACAGACATGCATTTCTGAGAATCCTTCAAATGACATTTCAGTGCCACTATAATCAATAAACTCCCATCAGAGTGCAACGCATGCGTCCGTCAGACTGTATCTGATGCTAACCGAACTGCTGAAGTAAACAGCCAATATGAATTTTGCCAGTTGCTATAGAATTACAGCGCATGCATCATATTTCACATGCAGGCACAAATCTGTGTGTTCTTTGAACAGATACGCATGATTAATTATCTTGGGAATAATATGCAAATGTGTCTGTTTCACATGCACTTTATTTCCAGAACACACAGTGTCCGATATCCACCTCTATAACAGGTGCAATAAAAGAAGAGGTCACCTGCACTGGGACAAGGGACATCAGGACCACTGCAGCTGCCTCTTTCAGATTTTGATTTAAGCTACACTCTTATTAATATTTATAGACAAAAGACACATACAGTACATGGAAAACCAGGTTTTTAACATGTAGCAATTGATGCCAGGTCTCTTATGCCAGTATCATATGTTGTTATGTTTGTAATGATAGAGAAAGCAAGGTTACCTCTCATCAGTGGACAGCATCAAGTGTGTATCAGTTCCTCAGCTGTAGGTTGTAAGATGAAACCGTCACTGTGCGAATATTATGATACGGAGGAGTCAGTGCGTCAGTGCATCATCACTCTCAGATGCACGCGCTGCTGCAGCAACTTTGACATTGAGCGCTTTAACGCACTGGCGTCCAGCTCGCGCGGAGCGTTATGACTCTCTCTCTCTCTCTCTCTCTCTCTCTCTCTCTCTCTCTCTCTCTCTCTCTCTCTCTCTCTCTCTCTCTCTCTCTCTCTCTCTCTCTCTCTCTCTCTCTCTCGGGCGCGCGCACACACACACACTCTCGCGCGCGTCTCTCTCTCTCGCGCGCCCAGCACGCGCCCGCTGAATAATGAATGATTAGAGCAGCACTGGAGCCGCGTGGACGTTTCTCTCTCGTTCTAGTCCAATCAGGAACTGATCACAATGAGTCGAGCGCTTTGCTCGGGTTACAGCTCTCCTATTCAGTCTGGCGGCCCCCATCCTGCCTTTGTTTCCACTCCAGCAAACAAAAAACGCAGCGGGTCAACAGTGAAATATTGAAAGCCCAGGGCAAATTTTTTTTTTGGTGCACATTCTCTAGAACAATTAAGTTGTGCATCTATGTCCCGCTGCGGACTCGTTAGAGGAAAAGTTACAAGGCTTCAAAGAATCTGAAGAATGTCTTCATCACGCATGTGTGGTGTAATCAGTACATTCCTCCTCAGCGATTTATCAAAGACGTGTGGTTTAATTACTTTAATGCGTTATTTGCAAATGACGAGAGGGTGAATCTCACATCAACAATATGTCCAGGTCATATTTGAAGTGAAAAAAACAAATAAAATAAATAAAGTAAAATAAACAAACACTTGATAAATATCAATAAATGCATTACAGCATTGAGAAAATAATGATAGGCTAATAAAAAAGTAAGGGAATTTTAATGAAAATAATGCCACATTGCAAACAATATGAATGTCTTATATGCTTGATTTAATGCAAAATAGCCCATCATTTATTATTTTCTTGTTTGATTATGAGGTGAAATATGACATTAACGAGGCATGTTGTCTTGAGATCCAACCATGATGCATGATACATACATTATCAGTAATATAACTTCAAATACAAATAATGATCATGCATTCATATTTGAACTATACTTATATGTACTTTTATATATAAATCAAAAAGTACATACAAGTTTATATATATATATATAGGGGAAGTAAACTAATTTCCTGTAGGGGCGCACAATGCTGCTATTCCAGGAGGAAACAGATTGTCCAGTTTACCAGTATACCCACATAACTTCTCCCTGATCACTTTAACAGCACGCTGAAGTTGTAATTACGGCAGAATAATAGGGTAGGAAACCGGGGTCAGGAATACTGTCCAGGTGCAAACAAACCCACTCGCATCCTTCTACGTAAGGTGTTACGCATTTGAAAGATGCATCAAAATGACACTCTGATTATGTGTATATGACAGGTGGCCTTGTGAATGTGAGCAGCATAGACTCACCAGAGGGTCTGAAGATCTTGCAGGATACAGTCCATTCTCTGCCGTCAGCAACACTGATCGCGCCTTCTCACCGCCTGCAACAAAACATCACTCAATCACTCATTTATGAAGCGCATCATCATAACTCAAAACATCCATCCGTCCACCTTTCACCTGCCCTATGCAGGTGAAAGATGGACGGATCTTTCTTTAAGATGATTTCTTTAAGATTATTTCAGGTTTGTGTAATATTCTGAGTTTGTAACATGAGGACAGGAGAGTACACGGGAAAACAAAGCAACTCACGTTACTTATCTAAAAAAAGTAACTCAGATATTTTGCTTTAAATTGAAAAGTAATGCATTATTTTACTAGTTACTTGGGAAAAAGTAATGGGATTGCTGATTACTGATAACTCGAGTTACTTGCGCGTTTCCCCCAACACTGATTATTTGTGTGCAATAGAAGTAAATTGATGCTATGGTAACACTTCATTTTAATGTCCGTTACTCATATTACATGTAATTACTATAGCGATAACATCAAATTATGCATAATTACATGCAACTAACCCTAAACCAAACTATAACGCTAATTATAGGGTAAGTACATGTTTTTAACTAATATTACTCAGTACTCATTTGTATAATTACACTGTAACAACAGCACAGTGTAACCGAAGTAATCATTTAGATCAGGTTAAGTATTTAGAGAGGAGGATGTAAGGTCACAGGCATGTGTTTATTATAGCGGCCCACACACACAGGCTTAGGGTCAAAGGTCACGGTAATGTGGTGGGTTTAAAATGCTAAATATGCACACATACACACACACACACACACACACACACACACACACACACACACACACACACACACACGCAATGATGACTGAATTATTTACATTTTTGGATTAACCCTTTAATCCTATATATTGAGCATGTTTGTTAAAACATACTCTCTATAATGGAGAAGCTTTGATATATAGATTTAATCAGCATCTTCCCTAAATGTGTGTTCTAGTATATTCTCTCAAAGCCTGTTTGTAATCAGGTCAGAGTGTTTAGTTCAGACATAAATGATAATAAATATTAATTATTATTATTTTTAGTGCTGGCCATGGTGACGATATTTACCCCAATGTTCTGTTTTCCTCTCTTGTATCTTATATGTGATAGTTTTGTGATAACTGTGCATGCGGGCCTGCTTGTCTTGAGCAGTGAAGCTGTTTTAGAAAGTCCTCCAGGTCCTGCAAACTCTTCGACTTATGCTTCCGCTCCACACGGGATTATTCCAGTTCTCGATATCAAGATCCAGCTTTGCCACTCGGGACAGATGAGGGACTCTTGATTATGTTTAGAAATGCTAAACATATTACAGAATTCGCAAGGGGTATGTGAACTGAACTGCATTTTCAAAGGTTATATCTCATATTTTATACACTTGTCAGAAACAATATGCAAAAATGGTACATTAAAAGGACAACTTTGTGTCTTATTTACCCCTATAAGGTGCATTTTAATACCTTGGAGCAGTAATATACTACCATTAACTTTTTGGGGTAAATAAGCTACATCTGTCCCGTGACAAGCAGTTTTACCACTAAATGTATCATTTTTGTGATATCTTTATTGCTCTGTCCATAAGTGTTTCAACTACTGCTAGTCCTTTAAAAAAGAAGAAGAAGAAGAATCCTGTGAATAAGCCGCTTGTCTCTGAATGGTGGATGTATTCGTGGAAGGCTCTCCGACTAATAACATCATATTGAACGTCTTTAATGATGCTCTCAAATTGTGAATACAACAAGTTGTGACTCAAGTGATTTTGAATAAAAAGGGATGTGTTAAGCGATTTGATATTTTTATGCAATATATATTAATATTGATCTGAGATTCTCTACCTGACAAACACAGGAAGATTTGCACTAATCAACATTATATGGAGAAAGTATTTACATACAAAGTGGTAACCTGCAATTGTTTCCTTAAATAGATATTTCTATCTAATGCATATACATTTTTTTGTTGGCATAAATTAATGTATGTTGATTCGGTGATATATATATATATATATATATATATATATATATATATATATATATATATATATATATATATATCACTGAATCAACATAGCCTACATTAATTTATGCCAGCAAAAAAAAAATATATATGCAACTGTCTACTAATACTCTCATTAGAGTTAGTTTGTTGCAAAGTTACGTATAGTCAACAGAATGTCTAAAGTGGACCATCGTAATAAAGTTGGTACTTTGTATGTTATATAATACAGTTCTTCAAAGTATCAATAATCCGTTCAGGCAAACCATATTGATCATCTAATATTCAGCCATTTTAAGGATTATTAGCACTGGCCAATTGACCATGTTTAGTTTTATCCCAGTGTTTTGTACCAGTTGTGTCAGCTCCAAACATCTAATTACAGTAAATATTGTGGAAAATGCTTATTTCAGATTCAATTGTATTATATATTGACATTACATTGACCACCCTGCTCTCTACAATGCAACATGCTAAGCGAATAATTGAAACTGAAGATGGAGAATCAAGCTAATGAAATTAAATGCTGATTATAAACACATAATATGTACACAGTTAAAGGAGTGTGTGCGATGCCCTTTGGTGCTTATTACAGTATTAAGTCATTAGATTAGCTAAACGAGAATGTCAAAATCAAGTCAGTTTTCCACTAAAAACATCCTTGAAACAAGAAAGATTTACTGGTTAAGAAAGACAGTATCAGCTTCTTTTTAGAATATATGATGTCTTTTTTCAACATTGATAATAATCCGAAATGTTTCTTGAGCATCAAATCATCATAGAGTGATTTCTGAAGGATCATGTGACACTGAAGACTGGAGTAATGGTGCTGAAAACTCAGCTTTGATCACAGGAATAAATTACATTTTAAACACATATTCACATAGAAAACAGCTATTTTGAATTATAATAATATTTCACAGTATTTCAGTTTTTACTGTATTTTTGGTCAAATAAATGCAGCCTTTTTGAGAAAAAGAGACTTATTTTAAAAATATTTAAAAATCTTACCGACCCCCAACATTTTCAACATTTAATCTACGTATACGATGTCCATAATATTGTAAATAGCCATTTTAGCAGGTAAAATGATCTTGTTATAAGGGTGTTTGAATATTTTTACTGAAAAACAAACACAAATATACTTAATATTTACATATTTGAAATATGACACTCCTTCTGTTGAAAGAGTCCAGGGTTTTCTAATCCTACTGATATGATGACTCTTACAAACCTGCGGTGAATTCACAACTCCTCGGCTTTAAGTGTGAGCGAGGGAACAGATCTGGTGAGGGTTAAACCTGCTGTTCATGCAATCTGTGAAGCGGGACAGACACATCAGCATCGCATTCACATCTGGAGAGAGTAGCTCAAGACTGAAGTTAGTGCTGTGTGAGGAGGGATGGTGAGATTACGGAGAGAGGAGAGTGCTAGTAATGTCCCGATGATGGGAGATTAGTCAGAGAAAGAACCATAGCACAGACACAGGAGGGTAGGCACATTGGAAAAAATGCTGTTTATTGGACTAAGTATACCATACAAAGGAAAAAATCAATAAATTAAAGCCAATGTTACAGCATCGGTGCTGGCAGTCCGTACTGGAGAGAGTGTGTGTGAGAGAGGAAAAGGATGATATGATACAGAAAGATGTTATAACCATTAAAAAAGATACGCAAAGTGGAACAATTAAAAATTACACTTCAAGATTACAAAAATACAGCAGAATCTCAGTTAAGAAGCACAGCAGTAATTTCATGGCAGATCCGAGTCCAAAACTGAATCTACTGTTCGGCAGTTTGAGGCTGAAAGATCCTGATAGACAACATGGGCACTAGCCTTATTCTGGGAGCATGAATGTTGTGAGTAGGTCGTTCATAACTACATTGTGTAAACAGACTCAAACTTGAAATGCTCAGCCAGTCTTAAAGACCCCATGAATGAAAAAAGTCGCTTCGAGACCGTCTATGTGTGCTCATAAAGTTTGAAAACATTAACATTGAACAGATACAAGCATTTGAATGACTTGTCTTGTTCACAGGGGCGTGGACAACATTAAAATCCAATGTTAAATAGTATGTTTTTAACATACTTGGAGAGAGCTAAATGCTAGCATTCACCTCAATGCTAGTTACTCGGTTAATCTGTTTACGCCTCACTGACGGTTCGTTTGAGCTGAATGTTTCTTCTAAAAAAATCGTGTTTTCATAAGAATCAATTCACTCAAAATCACCATGTCGTAACATTCAAGTCGGAAGTTTTCTCATGAGATCGGGTTGGAGGTGCAGTTATAGCATCGACCAGCAGGGGATAATTGCCAAAACTATCCAGTCAGACCCTGAATCCTTGGTTTTGGTGGGCTGTGACTAGCTAATTAGCTGTTAGCTAGTTAGCTGTTAGCTGCTAACTTCGTGTTTCAACAGGAAATGTCAAGCAAACCATTTCATGGGGTCTTTAAGCTTGAAAAGGTGAACTGTGATTTTGTTTTGGCACTGATTACAGAATTTTTTCAGCTACGGCCTTAATACACGGCACTTTAAATAAGTTATCTATAACATGTCACTGCATAATGAATTTCATCGACCATTACACATGAATTGGTTCTGCATATTCAACTTATTTGGGCAATTATTGATTTATCTACATTGTTTCTGGGAAATCAATGAATCAAAGATCAACATCAGACCTTGAAGACAAAAAAAAAAAGGCTAATTCAGCACTCAAAAACTAGCTTTTAAATGACATGTTCTGTACATGCATAATTATACCATAAATGTAGATTTATCTTCCTTTAATGAAACATATTTCAGGTACTGTGAGTTATGCCTGGAAGACGGGCAAAAAGGGCAGCGTTTTACCAATATGTTTACCATATTTCATATTGGTTCACTGTGAATATGAGCAGTGATAGGAAGCTGGCTTTTCATTTCCCCATCTGAGTATCATTTGTACAAAAACATGATGTTTTATGGCACTAAAACAAGTTCTTCAGTAATGTGGCAAGATTTAGAAAAATGAATACAGAAAACAGCAAGGCAGCTGGTATTAGAGAAAGAAGAAGAATTTACTTAGAGATAAATAAAATATGCCCTTTATGACCATATAGAGAAGTCTTGGGATTTACAGTAAGTGTGAATATGCAAACAATGTGCATATATTAAATAAACTTTCAGGTTTCAAAATAAATAAGTGTGGATTAAACACTCATTTTGAGTGTGATATAGAGTATGTACAATCTTTATCTACAGGCATATTAGATATATGCAGCCGTAATCTCTGTGGTTTATGAATGATTATTCATGTACAATAGTAATGATTTCTCTCACTGCTTAACCTGTCACTTCACATCAAAGAGAATGAATGCCTCGGTTGACGCATGCTTTGAATTCGAGTGTCAATTCATATATATTTTTTATCGGCTGGTGACATGTTTGTACAAATCATAGCGAATTGTGGATTGCCCTTCAGACAAATAGCAAATGGACCTAAATATATTTAGCACCTTGTTTACGCCCATAGTGCATGTAATCTAGTGTTTTCTTCTCTGAGAGGTTCATTGGCAGGACTGAGCTTGTGTTATTCTGTGTTTTGAGCAGCTGTTGGAACGATTCAGCTGATCTGATAGCATTGAAACCTTTTTTATGGTAAGTCTGTTTAATATTTAGTGCCTTTTTTGCAGCTCATCCCATCAGATGCGAGGACACAGAGGCACAGAAAGGCAAACGTCTTTCAATGAGATCAGTTGAATGCGAGCATATGTACATTGTCTCTCTTTTTGTTGGGAAAAATAAATCTGGATCTGTAAACAAAAATATCTTTGCTTCTGGTAATTGTTAAGTAGTTTAAGGCTACTGGACAACATAATAATAGTCAAACATGCGTATGTATGGATCTACCTTTGTGTTTCCATAATGTGAATGATCAAATGGGATAGGACAATATTTTTGTAAAATCAATGCTACACCATTGTATGAAGTTCTATGAAATGATCCAACCTTATATTGGACTTCTAAGTCTTCTTCTATACATACTATTTTTAGGCTTTTTCATCTATATCTCAAACGATAATTACAATAAAGAATAGTAAAACGTTTTTTTTTTTTTTTTAATGGGGCAAAAGCTTCACGTACACTCCTAAAAATGAAGGTTCCCGCAGTGATGCCGTAGAAGACTTTTTGTTTCCACAAAGAACCTTTTGATTAACAGTTCTAAGAACATTTAAAAATCTAAAGAACCTTTTCCCACTATAAAGAACGATTTGTGTAGTGGAAAGATTCCTTGGATGTTCTTCATGGAAGCATCAATGCCGATAAAGACCTTTATTTTTAAGAGTGCATGATATGCTATCGGCCAATGCCTTGCCTTCAAAATGTTGTGCAACCTTACACCAAGAGAACCAGACGATCTGTGGAAAAGAAAGAGTGAGAAGCGTACTTCTCTGGCGCCACAGAGGTGGAGGTGCTGTTAGTAACAGGGTGAGATTTGTTTTTTAAAGGAAGGCAGAGCCTTGGTGAATGTGCTCCAGGAAAAGAGAAGTTGCGGGAGAAAGGTCACATGACAGCACAGCACTGGCAGCGTTTTTTCTTTTCAATACCTGTGGGTGGCAGTTCCTTGGTCGAGCTTTCGTCTTTTCCTTCTGAGGACAGTTCAGAGGTGTCGGACAGAGGCCGACCCGACACGAGGTCCGCGGCGTTGCCGTCCACGGTGGACATGTCGGTGACGGTCTTCTCCCGGAGAGATTTCTCGTCGTCCTCGTCGATGAGGACGATCTCGGCCTTGATGGTGCCGTCGAAGCCGAGCAGCTTCTTGGATTCCTCCTCGTCCTCAATGCTGTGGTAGCCCATGAAGATCATGGTCACCGGTTTGTCGGCTGAGGCCTTCGGCGTCTCCGTGACCTCGCCTTCGTAGCCTTTGCTAGGGGTTTGTTTGGTGTCTTGCTTGGCCTCTCTGGTGCTCAACTGTCCTCCCTTCGGCTGTGGCTCAGCCGGTGTGACAGTGACTCGGCCGCCGTCCTCTCGTTGTTGGGTTTGGCCGACCTGCTGCATCAGTCGGTCCACCTGTCCGGGACTCCAGGGGTGCGTGCCGTTCTCCAGTGTGGTAGATCCCCCAGAACGCACCTCGTAGATCACCTTGCGGCCGTCGTCGTAGACTTTGACGCCCCTCTGGTGAGCGTCCCGTGGACTGACCGCTGAGGCCGAGAGGATCTTGGTGGCACCCGTCTTCCGGTCCTTTTCGACATTGATCTCCATGGCGTATAATGCTTGGGGAAGAGTGCAGACGGTTGTGGGTTAATGTCTACTCAGGGTGGTCTATCATGCATTACTGAAATGTGGCATGCTTATTATGTATGAGTTTTTCAGTGATGTCACTATGCCCATGCAATACTCGTACAGTCTCATAAATTGGCATAAAAACCAGAGGCAGAAAACAAATTCAACCTGCCCTTTGCACTGTTATTACGCCGTTGCCAGTAACCGCTAACGTAGTTGACGACACACTCTGGCGTTTTTATGGAAATGCTTCACTACTTTATTAATTACAATCTTTGGAGTTATTGGTAACACTTTATTTTAATGGTCCATTTTGAAAACTCTGTTGACTATAAGTAACTTTGTCAACTGACTCTGATTAGAGTATCTACTGTCTGCTTAATATCTGATAACTCTTTATTGTGATGCTCCTCTAACAGACATTATACTGACTATAAGTAACTGTGCAACTACATGTCAACTTATTCTAAACCTATAATGTGAGTTGGTAGACTTGTAATGCTAAACAATGCTAAATGCAAATAATAAAATGCAACTAGTCATGTAATTGTGCATAGTTAGGGCAGCTAAAAATATCCTTGTGAAAAAGAAGTGAGCATAACTGTACTGTAGTGCACTTGCAGTGTACTTCAAATCTTAAATGTATATATTTTTTAAAACCTTCACATGCAGATAATATAATGTTAACTAAATAAAAAAAACATTCATATATTTCAAATGTACTAAATTGCAACTTCATCATTACAAATGTGTAATTGCAAATATATTTAAATATATGACAAGTTTAATAGAAATTATATATTTATATATATTATATATTTTATAGAAAGTATATTTTAGTTTTCCATAAATGTTTGTCAGTTCATTCTGCATCAACTTTAACCATATTTCAAAAAACAATAGAAGTAATTATGAAATTACTTATAACAATGCATTTAAGTCCTGTTAAGTGAGCCAAAAATATCACACTAAAGTTCAGCTAATTGCATTTAATAAATAATGTAAACTACAATACATGTTCATGCATTGCAATTAACATGTATTTAAATGTCCAATAACCTTTCCTGCACATTCATCTGCCGATTGGTCATACTGTATGGCAAGTACTAATTTGGTCCAGTGTTTGTTGGTAAATCACACTTCTGCTGTTGTTTATGCATTTACAAAAATGTATTTTTTCCTATTTAGCCAATGTCATGCTAATAACATTTGCATATTGATGGACCTATACAGTTCAGTAAGTTCACAGCAATACTTATGAAGTCCTTCATATTTTCTTTGTCATTTTAAACGATGACTAATTGTGGTACTTTCACAACTTGTTGTCCAATGTAAAGTCTACAACCATTTGAGAACCAATGGTCTAAACCTTATATGTAAATAAATGAAGTGCTTGAATGGATGAAGAAGTATACCTGGTTACGCTAATGGACTTTTCCACTCATCTCCATCACAGGCCTATTGTAAGCTGAGCTTCTCTGAACTGGTCATTAGCACATGCCCAACAACAGCAGTTTAAGCCTTTGATATGTGTTTGAAACTGGTGACCAGTTACCCTACTGAACATAGATTATGAAATATGCCATCCTCGCATGGTGAGTAACTGCGCCATCTGTAATCTACATTACCATACCCACTTTTGGCCTTGGCCCAAACCCGTGACCAACCCCAGCCCCTCCCACAAGCCCAACAAGCACCTACCAGGTTTTCTTGGCGGTTGTTGATCTCCTGAAGCTGAGACGGGAGTTTGGGAGTTCAGTTCTGGGAGGTCCGGGATCTGGGAGCAGTTGTAATTCACCGCATCTGTCCGGTGGAGAGCAGAAGAGACACTAAAACTAGATTCCTGTGTGAGTTTGCTCCCCCCCTTCCAATACCCCACACTAAACTGAGTCCCCCCCCCCCCCTCTCTCTCTCTATCACCCTTTTCCCCCTCATTGCTTAGACAGCAAAAGCAGCGCAAGTGAATCACAGCAAAACAATGGTGGCTCTGGGATACAGGGATTCCCTGTGAATAGGTGGATCAAGGTAAACAAAGTGCAGAGTCATTGCCATATGTGTGGAGTTCAATAGTCTAGCTGAGGCAAGAGGGAAATGGTCCAAGAGGCCAATGTTGGACCCCTCCGTCCCACAAAAGGATGTAAGAGAAGAGCATGTTTTGAGTGGCTGTCTACCATCGCACTGGTACCTTGGAAGTAACATCCATGGTTTGCAGAGATGCCCATGAACGTGGCCTGAAATGTCTAGGTTGCATTCAGACTGATTTTGGTACTTTTGGTACCGCCCAACTCCCCCCCCCCCCCCCCCCCCGCCTCACCCCCACCACCACCACCACCACATCTAGTACAATACAGATGCAAATGACTTCCATACCTCCATCTTGATACTGAAGACTCTGTAGAAAAAAAGAAGAAAATATGATGCTTAACATACTTCTTTGTTACATTTTTACCCACAGTGTTTCTTAAATAGCTGCATTCCTCTAAATTACTGCATTATTTAGACTTTTAAAGAAAAAGTGTGTAATTTCTGCACGACTATAGCGACCAAAGCGTATGGTAACACTTTATTTTGATGGCCCACGTTAGACATAATACTGACTATAAGTAAATTTGGTACTACATGTCAAATGACTCTCATTAGAGTATTAGTAGACTGTCTGCTTACAGTTTTTCTCGATTGCTTAAACACATTTCTTGAAACTATGCCTCGTATTCTCAAAACAGTAAACACAAATCCATAACGTCTCACCCAATTCCCCAAACATCCTATTTTCAGGTCAAAATGAAGCTCTACACTCAAAACCATTCACTCTTGCTGAAAAACCAAACTTTGCCCTCAGACAGGACACACAAGCCCTCAAAAATACACACACTACAACATAGTCTTACACACTGGTGCTATAAATTCAAAACAACATTTCCAAAACTGGTAAGTCATGTTGCTTGTGGTCCCCCAATCCCCCCCCTCCCATCTTTATTTTTTACTCTCTCCTACTCTTACGTAAGATGTGTGTGAGCATCATATGACGGTAAAAGAGCACACACAAACCTTATTCAAATATGGAATTTTATTGGAATGGTAAAGAGTGTTGGTACATGCCTCCACTGAAGGATACAATATGATGAACAAGTCTAAGAATGTTCCACATATGGTTGAAATACCATCATTGGCCTAGAAAGATAACATTCTGGGAGTCAAGACTATAAAGGAGAAAGGATGCCCTCCCTTCACTGTCACACTCTGCTGCCGATCTGTGTGACTGTACAACTGCTGGCCTTTTCTTGCAAGAACATTAACCTCATCAAAGACAATTGGAAATGTTTGTCTCTTATTCAGTGATATAAATGTGTTTGCCACCACACCTCCCTGATGGTTCTGATGATGGAGGCGACGGTGAAGCGACTCAAATTTGGCTGTACTCGTTGCCCAGCCTCCCTTATATAGTCATACCATGGACAAGGACATGGCCAACCAAAGTGGCTTGAATTTCATCCGAGACTGATTGTCTTCTTGCCCTTGCCCTTCCTCCTCCTCCTCCTTCTTCTCCTCCTCCTCATCCTCTTCCTCCTCCTGTTCCTCTTCCTCCTCCTCCTCTTCCTCTCCCTCCTCTTCCTCCTCCTTTTCCTCCTCCTCTTCCTCTCCCTCCTCGACATATTGCTTAATTTCTCTGTGGATCCATTGTTCCAAAACTCAGTAAACTGATTTTTATCTTTTATAAAAGATTGTATAACCTTTTATCTATCTATTGAAGGATCTGACTGATGTGTGTTCAATTTTGACTCTTAGTGTTTTCACCTGGGTAATTGTGTGCTAACTGAGCTGAAGCTGAGCTGACTTGAGTGAACAATATTGAATGCTAGTGCTTTCTAAATGACCACGTGGTGTAGGCAATGAGAAATGAAGGGATTTGTGTGTAGAGTTTTGCTGTGACAGTTCAACAAATCTGACTAATGTATCAAAACAGGGGAATAGTATTCATAGTTCAGTGAAATGGGTGTGCTTTTTGATAAATGGCATTATGGTTTTGAAATTTTAGTTCAAAAGCCTGGTTATAGTGTTTAAGCAATCGAGAAAAACTGTAATATCTGCTAACTCTTTATTGTGATGCTCCTCAACTGACATTATACTGACTATAAATTACTTTGCAACTACATGTCAACTTACTCTACTAACCATAACGTAACAGTCTACTGATACCCTAATGATTGAAAGTTGACATGTGGTTGCAAAGTTACTTATAGTCAGTAAAATGTCCAAAGTGGACCATCGAAATAAGCTTTTGGAAGAATGATGACTGTTTCAAACAGGTTTCCAGGATTATTTCTCATCTGCTATTGGACGGGGTTGAAAAAACAGATAGTCCAAATAAATTACATTCTTCTCTTTCACATTTAAAAAATGTCTGCATGCCATAGTGTTATAACAAAATATAAATCTGTAGAAGTGGTTACCATGAACAAATGAGAACTAACTTGGACTGAGCTATATTTTGTAATTACTGGGTTCAAGGTGATTTTTTAGTGGATGTATGAAGATGTGTTCAAGTCATGTGATAACTTCAGGATTTCTGAGTTTCCGTGGATTAAAATCCTTGTGGATATAGTAGAGCTATATTAATAGAGCTGACGTATTTATTTATAGGCCAACCCTGAAGACTCAACAGAAACCCAGCAGCATTTTTCCATTGGCTTTGGGGTTATTGCAGAAAATAAGCTAGCTCGGTGACCAGCAAAAGTTTATGATTCTCACACAAGTTTGAATAGTTAGAAAAGAGCGCGAGTATAAACGCAATGAGGCTGTAAAAGCAGATAAGTATAGATTCATTTTCCTGTTTGCTACATTTAATGACCCCAACAACCTCTATATGTCCGGATATACAGACATTTGCTCTGTGCGTGAGGTCAGTTTTTGAGTCTCTCTCTGTGTGTGTTCTTCTGTGACGAGGATGACTTGCCTTCTGTAGATCTTCGATAGATCTCTCCGTTTCCCGCAGTCGCTCTCGGAGAACCTGCTCTTTCGCCGAGATCTGGGATTCTTCGTTCTCCAGGAGACCGATTTCTGATTCCAATCTACAAAAACACAAGAAACCATAACAATCCTCTTCTTTTTGAATTCAATACATACAATTACTGAAATTAATTATTCATAACATGCTATATAAATTCTTCAGAAAAGAAGAGACCGTTTCCCAGACTTGAAACCAGATCCGGGCCACATCTGGTACATGTGGATTCAGCGCGTGCCAGATGTGGGCCGGAACTGGGCCGACACTATGTTGCTGTCTGGGCTCACATTGAGATCAAGTGGATCAATAATGCAACTAGAGATGTGAAGATATTGCATTTTAACCTCTGAAAGAACACCATAATTTAACAGTTTGGGGTTGGTAAGACTTTTTAAAGTCAGCAGTATTGTGAAATATTATTACAATTTAAAAGTACACCTATGGACATGGTGATGGAAAAAAATATGAGATGGCGAGTTTTGCGCCCCCCCAGAGAAACTTTGCATTCGCTTGCAAAACGTTTGTAAGGGGAACGTAAAAAAAAAAAACACACACAAAAAACCCCCCCGAAACCTTGAACGACTATGGCTTCAGAATACTTCTAATATAGTGCGGGACTACTTTTACGATAGTTTTACAGTTTTTTTGGAACCATGTTGTATGGAAAAAGGCGGTCTAGACATTCTACTAAAAGTAGTTTTGCACCCCATGGAAGAAACAACATCAGGCGAGTCAGTGCTCTTTATTCTTGAAGAAAAATCGGAAACATATTGACTCTATCAGCGCTTTGAACTTTCTCAAAGCATGCACATGTGTTGCCCGCTGAATGAAATCACGCATTGGAATGCACAGGCGTGTGCAACACATTCTGGAAATGAATGAGACACATATCCCTTTAGTGTCAATTAAGCCACGCATATTCCCAACGGACTCCATTCTCACTCATTGTGAATGCTGGCAGCCAATGAGGAAGCCGCGCTGCCTCCGCCCAGGAGAGTTTCCTGCTATTGTTTGGATCACTGAGGTTACGTGGTCTGCAATAACAAAAGAGAAGGAGCATTCCCACGACTCCTGACAAAAATCCCTTCTACATAAAGACATGTGCTGTCTATGTGTACAAACATAATGGATGACAGCGAATGCATCAACATGTGGCACTGTCTGAACTTTTCATTTGATTTCTACACAACGCGTGTACATTTGGTTGTCTATAATCTGTGGAAGTCGGAAAAAGAGATGTTAGACGGAACGACCCTGTTCCCCCGGACCCTAAGACACCACAAAAGAGCATCACAAGAGTAACACATACAATTTTTGTGGTATATATATATTTTTTTCATTTTATGGAAAAGAGCAGAAAGATAGAAAGAAGGAAAGACACACATATATATATATAATATCTATAAAAAATAGTAATTAATTTTAAGGAGCATTCCCAGACACCAATATAAGGCCGTATCTGGGCCGACATTATGTTGCTGTCTGGGTAAATAAATAAATAAAATGGAAACATAATAGAAAAATAATTATAAGTATTTAGGAAAAGTAGATATGAATAGAAAAGTGAAGTAAAAAGAACTGGATCATCAAATGAATCTAAAGAGTCTTACTGTAATTTATGGGAATGCTACAATGCTACAATTTGTACGTTGACAATTTTAGCTCCACTGTCTATAGAAGTTTTTTTGTAAATAGTGTCAATAAAAAACCCCGAAACTAAAATATTAGAACGACTAAATATGCAACTTGCTCTCTTGCAAACCTAGAGACTGAGGAAGAGCAGGAGTGGAGCAGTAATGGAGAGAAAGAGCCAGCGCTTCAAGGCCATCTAGTGGTGGGATCACGCCGAACATCTTTCCAGACTAACTCATGTGTTCAGACTGGCTTCTTTCTACTCCACACTGTATACTCTATTCTATACTGTACATATATACCATTATTATCAGTAATCATACATTAGATTTGTGTGACTCATATAGGACGACTTGATTAGTTCCGTTTTTTTATTTGACTCAATATTTCATAGGGTAAGTTTATTTTTGAAATGTAATTTCTGTTATGGGACATTGAAGTCTTTTATTTAAGCTATTAAAACTTTACATGATTATTGACCAGGAAAAAAAGAGATTTATGACATAAGTTCATAAAACACAAGTTGTCACAATAGGAACCTGCTTCCAGTGACGCTCATTTGAGAAGAATAACTTGCCTAGAAAAAAATGCCATATTCCATAATATATGTTTTGAAAATGAATTAAAGGCTGCTAAATAGCTTTTATAAATAGTAGCCTAAAATATATGACACACAAGACACAAAATATATATATATTTTTATTAATAGAAATAATTATGATTACATAATTATAGTAAAAATTATTAATTAATCAATAACTTGCCCCAACCTGACATTAGTTAAAAGTACTCTTATTAGTCAATGTGGTTTTATTGTGTTTTACTGTGTTCACTTGTTAAGCCAACAGCGATTACAAAATACAACACACACACACACACGCGCGCGAGGAGCAGGAAATCTGTCACACAGTATCATCAACATCCATAACTATGAATGGAGCGTCTTTGTGAGGTGTGATTGTATATACTAGGCCCTTTCACTTGCTGTATGTTTTCATTAATAACTGCTAATGCAGCACCTCCATGTGTAAATAACTCAAATAAGCATGGAAACCTTGACTTGAACCACATTATTATCTAGTGGATTTATCGGTTATTCAATATTTCAATGTTATTTTTTCAGTCAGTAGAGAACTGGATCAAAACGGTCCTCAGTGTCACACTGCCTGTCAGTTCCAGTACGATGGGTGTTGACCACATGACTCATTCAAAAAGATGAATATTTGTTTCTCCTTTTTTTTCCTTGTTCTGAAGCGTAGTCAGAGGTCAAGAGTGCATCTTCTGCTGTCTGATGAGCTCATACTCACACACACCCACATCACTTCCTGCAGGATTCCTCACGCCGCATCATTCTCTCCATGTAAGAAGCTATTCCCACTATTCTGTAATCATTCTTATTAGATTACTTTACTTTGGTTAGAAAGTGAAGACCAACAGAAAGCTGATTGGTTAGAAAGTGAAGACCAACAGAAAGCTGATTGGTTAGAAAGTGATGACCAACAGAAAGCTGATTGGTTAGAAAGTGATGACCAACAGAAAGCTGATTGGTTAGAAAGTGAAGACCAACAGAAAGCTGATTGGTTAGAAAGTGATGACCAACAGAAAGCTGATTGGTTAGAAAGTGATGACCAACAGAAAGCTGATTGGTTAGAAAGTGATGACCAACAGAAAGCTGATTGGTTAGAAAGTGATGACCAACAGAAAGCTGATTGGTTAGAAAGTGAAGACCAACAGAAAGCTGATTGGTTAGAAAGTGAAGACCAACAGAAAGCTGATTGGTTAGAAAGTGATGACCAACAGAAAGCTGATTGGTTAGAAAGTGAAGACCAACAGAAAGCTGATTGGTTAGAAAGTGAAGACCAACAGAAAGCTGATTGGTTAGAAAGTGAAGACCAACAGAAAGCTGATTGGTTAGAAAGTGAAGACCAACAGAAAGCTGATTGGTTAGAAAGTGAAGACCAAGAGAAAGCTGATTGGTTAGAAAGTGAAGACCAACAGAAAGCTGATTGGTTAGAAAGTGAAGACCAACAGAAAGCTGATTGGTTAGAAAGTGACTTCTTTATACATCGTTACCAATTTTAGGGAAAGTTACTTTTAAAAGTAATGCATTACAATATTGCGTTACTCCATAAAAACATGGAAAGTATGGATTTTATGGAAAGTAATGTTACGTTACTTTAGCATTACTTTTTATAACCCAGGCTTGTTTTTTAAGCATAATATAAAATATATATATTTTGGCAAATAAGGGCCTTTCACATCAAAAGTGAAATAAAAAAGCATCAGGCTGAAGGAAATGCAAATGCACGCCTGTACAGTAGAGGGTGTTCAACACTCTGAAATAAAAGAGCTTTTTAGAGCTGAATTTGATTTCTGTTTGGAAATAAAATACGTTGGATCAAAAATAAATGTAACGCAAGAGTTTGCATATGACAACTTCAAATGAAATTACCTTCAACCAACAAACTTTGAGATAAAGGGACTTAACAATTTGTAGCATAAACTCAAATTTTTAAGTTCATTACTCAAAAAATGTAGTCGCTACAACTACTTGAGTTGTAGACCAGGAAATAATTCATCTTATCTATTTCAGTTCAAATCCACAGCTATCATAGCACATGCTTAAAATAACTTATTTAACATGTATATATAATGAACAAGTAAGATCCGGCATTACCGCAGGCGCAGTCATTGCTAGATGACTTCATGTATTACTCTTCAGCACAGTGCAAAAAACGTCAACATTACAGAAACTCGTTTAAATGTCAAACATAACTGCAATAAACACTAACAGGTCTTCGTCTTTCCCTTCACTAAAATAAATAAATAAAATAAAAATAACATTTATTCAACATTTATTCTCCTTATCCAGTCCTATGCAAAGCATGCTGGGAACTAGAAATCCACAAGTTCCTACAACTTAAATTCTTGAAACAGTCAATTAACCCAGAAATTTGAGTTTAAATTACACACAATATTAAGTTAATGTCATGATCAGCATTATTATGTCAACAGAACTAAACAAAATAATGTTTGCAACTTAAAATGTTTAAATAAAACAATAAATCAGCATTTTTGTTTAATTAAGTTACAATTTCCTAAATTGCTTTTGAAAGTGTTGATAATTATTTTCCTGTTTATCACTGTACAAAGCTGCTTTAAAACATTATGTATTTTATAAATTGCTATAGTATATAAATAAAAGTTACTTGATTTGAATTGACATCATTATAATAATAATAATAATAAAACAAATTTTGCATTACATCAATTCAAAATAATGTCCTAAAATAGGCTAAATTTGGATTAATTCTGCTTTTGGGTTGACGTGATTGGGGCCTGTTGTTTGTGAGATTCACCCATTTGCAATCGTTCCAAAATCTGTGCCTCGCATCTTCACTGTAAGCTCGGTGAGAGTCATTGTGAAACTGGCGTGAGCTCATCATTGTCCAGCGATGTCCCTGCACTCAGACAGAGTTCATCCGCCCCCCGCTCCTGTTCCCATGATAACACATGACTGAGCGCTTCCTGTCCAGTTTACCAGATGTCAAATCTAAAGGACTCTAAGGCTCACAGTGTTCACATTGTGTGTTTGTCCTTAACGTAATCATGAAACGACAACGTGGAGATTCTTCTCTGAGGTGTTTGCAGACGCAGAAACCTCTTGTTTCTAGGGCAACGCTCATTATGGCACAATGAATCCATGTGTGACTTTGTGGAGCAAAATACTGCATAAATTTAACTCAATATCCTCTTGCTAAATATTGAAGAAAATGAAAGTGCTCCAGGTAACTGGCTAAAACAGCACTGATCTAAAACCAAAAACACAAACCAAAACATTTTAATTGTTAATATTACTTTTTCTGAAGCAGGGCTATTATAGTTAACTAAAAAAAAGAATTAAAATAAAAACTATAATAGTATCTCAATGGGACAATAACACTGTTCTTGAGCTGGCACAAAAACTTCAATGCTGATTGGCTCCATCAAAGCGGGGGAAGAAATTCAGTAGCTCCTGACACTGTACATTAAGAGGTCTTACTGTAGTAACAACAGACAGTCTTATCTGAACGCCCGATGTAATGTTTATTTTTATGTCTGTCTTTACTCCAGTGCAGGACGAGAGACCTTACACTTTCTTTTCACCATATTAGGAGCTCATTTTGCACAGTTGTATAAACAGTTTGTGTGCAGATGGAGGAGGGGAGGGAGCTTTATGACTGAGTTAATATCATGTCAACGCCACATTTTTCCTGGAAAGCCTGGTAGTTAGAGCTTTACTTCAGACTCAGTGTCTGGGATGTCTTCTGTAGTGATATGTTTTTAGGAGAAGTCTGCCTTTGCTGTTCAGCCGAGGCTATAGTTAAAACCACCAGAACTACAGCCAAAACCAGTCACACTAATGTTCTCGTTGCATGCTTTGACATTATTTTTCTAACTTTCTTTCTTCTTTTTTTTTTTTTTAACAGGCAGGCATAAACTCATGCTTTGCATTTTAGTGTGATAGAGTGATGTATTGGTTAGGCTGATAAATATTTGCCTATTTCAAAATTGTAGCCATCTGTTGATAATGCTGTTTCATCTGCTGACAGTCATTCTTTTACCAGTGGCTAAAACAGTCCCACTCATAATCCATCTTCTTTAGACTGCAAAACAACAGTTAACTGGATCTGTTAAATGCTGTCAATTTAACCAATTTAACCAAAATTACCATAGTAAATCATTTAAACTATAATACATTGATAATGGAAGTTCAAATTGTAGTCTTCCTGCTCTAACCGTTTGTAACACATTTGCACAATGCCAACCTATGGTCTTGATTGGCTGCCTGCGAACAATGTCTACTTTGACTGTAGTTGTAGATGAGACTAGAAAAGGTAAAGCCAAAGCCATCATTACTGTTCATACTGCTGTGTATACAAGTGCTGAGAAACACCTGGAGCTGAAATTCAGATATGATAATGAGTGTTTGGTTTCCAACACACACTGTAAGCAATAAACCAATCACAGCAGACTGGGTCATTTGAACAATCAGAGCAGAGTAGACCAATCACAACAGACTGGGTCATTTGAACAATCAGAGCAGAGTAGACCAATCACAACAGACTGGATCATCTGACCAATCAGAGCAGAGTAGACCAATCACAACAGACTGGATCATCTGACCAATCAGAGCAGAGTAGACCAATCACAACAGACTGGATCATCTGACCAATCAGAGCAGAGTAGACCAATCACAACAGACTGGATCATCTGACCAATCAGAGCAGAGTAGACCAATCACAACAGACTGGGTCATCTGACCAATCAGTGCAGAGTAGACCAATCACAACAGACTGGGTCATCTGACCAATCAGAGGAGAGTAGACCAATCACAACAGACTGGATCATCTGACCAATCAGAGCAGACAGAGTAGACCAATCACAACAGACTGGATCATCTGACCAATCAGAGGAGAGTAGACCAATCACAACAGACTGGGTCATCTGACCAATCAGAGCAGAGTTTAGGCTCTCAGAAAGGAGATGTTTAGAGAAACCAAATCATTTATCAATCCGTTTCAGACACTGTGAGAAAAGAGCTGATGCTGCAGTGTATATTATGAGAAAATAATCTATCTTTTTATCTTGGCTTCTTGTAAGCCTTTTTTAGGGGCCTCCAAAACAAAATAAGGAACATTTAAAATAGCATAATAGGGGCTCTTTAACATGTAACGCTTCTTTAACTGTTAACTTTTTTAACAGCAAGTTAATTCTTCTTTATCAACTCTGGGAAAACAAGTCTTGAGTACCCATTTATTTTGGAGAATCTCCTCTGCAGGGTACAGAAATAGCCACCAGCCACTCCCTCAATCTCATACTTTCGCCACAGAGGCGGTTCTATTCCTTCTTTCCTGCCGCTGTCCTGACAGAGAGGTTTCTGTGCGAGTGCACCCTGCCCCGTCACCCACACCCACCAGACCAGGATATATCACCTTCCACCCACAACCAGTACAGCCACACACTCTTCGGAACATTCGCCCTGTCCATTTGACTAAATTACCCTTTCAATGACAGATGGGAGCTTACAGCCCAAGGCAGTTGTATGCTTTTTTAAATGACCGTAAGTGAGAGTAAATGCAAATTGTGCTGCTGTTTAATTATGAAAAATGTCAGTGACTAGGAGAGCAAACCTACAGAAGGCTTCTTATGAAATCTTAAAATAACCTTCCTGCTAATATTAGGAACTCAGATTATGCTCTATTAGTTTAAGTCTAGACTGAAAACCACTGACATTGACGGTTTTGTTAAACTGGCCAGTCCATTATTCAAATTATTTGTTGAAGTCTGTTAGCAGTTAGTTCAATGGATCTGCAGTCCACTAGTTTTGCATAGTCAAACTTTATCTATCGCAAAAATGTTTGGCCCAAACGGCTTCTTAGAACCACCAACTCAGTTTGACTGATATGTAAAGTACTGAACATACAAAACAATGCTGTGTTCTGGGCTAAATGCGCGTGTACGTGCTTGAACATAATGGTATTTTGAGCAGCTGAGAACTCGTGAAGAGCTTATAAAGTGTGTAAAGGAGACACACAGCAGCAGGAATTCCTCCATCACACACACAAACGAAGATCTGCGCTTCTGACGGCTGTACTGAACTGTAATCGTGACTATGACGAGAAAAAAACAGGTTTGCTAGAGCATTCTGTCCTTAGCATCTTGTGACATCATGTCCCGTTTTTGGTTCGTTAAGATGTTTTGGTCCGTGTTGCGTTCATATTTCAGTCCAACCGCAGCAGAGTTTGTTTGGAAACGGACCGAGAGATCCACCTTTTTTCAACTGTAAACTATTGTTGCATACATTACCCCCCCCCCCCCCCCCCCCCCAAAAAAAAACAACAACAACAAAAAAACAAAACAGTATAATAGTTCCTTAGTAGAATGATCCATCTTAAGGCCAACAGCACCAACTGTTAAGATCCCACCTTTCTACTTTGCCTGTGTCATAACTGATGCAAATGAATTTTAGATACTCTATGACACCACTGTGTTTAATTGGGGGAAAATTCAACATCCCAAACAGACATTCTAAGGTGGCATCCTGTGCAGAGAGGAAGCCCACCCCAGAGAGTTAATAAAATCGAAACAATGGACTGGACGTTAACTTTCCATGGATGACATCACGGAAGGGCAAATCCGCAGTCAACTCGACGATGTAGTTCATTACTGCCAAATAGAGCGTAAGAGCATCATCCACTTCAATCACAAACTAACTGATTACATAATCACCTCTGAGGACCAAAAGGTAGCACATAACTTATGTAATATGAGTTTTTCAAAATACAAACATCTTCCAAACACTCCCACACTACTCACTTGAAATATCCGAATAACAATTTATTCCATCAAAACTAGAAAACCAGCTAGCCCTCAAATACCATTTCAAACTCTTGAGATAATCTTTGGGCTAGATTTGCTCTGGTTTCATCAAACATTCAGAGGCCTTAGTTGAGACAGTCAACTTCAGCCTTTCAACATATTATGAGAGAAATCAAAAGACCCTCCAGGCCTTCTTTAATAATAAAAAACTTATGCTAATACAGTAAACCTCAATTAAGCCAACATAGTTTCCAAGAGCACCAATTTTCACAGCAGTTATGTTGGAATATTCCAATGTTCTAACACTTATTGTTGGATTATTTACTGTTCCAGAGCCTTAGCCATGGGAACTCCCGCGCCAAATGAATGGAAAAGAATGTGCATTTTATGAACAGTCATGGAAAGCTATTTTATTAGTATATGGTTATATGTGCATCTGTTTCTTGTTTTTGCATATCTTCTTATTAGATTGTAAACCAAATTCCAAATGCGTTTCAGTTTTGTTTGTGATTAGATTCAAGCATGTCATAATGAATAACCTATACACCACAGCCATGCAGTATCACGTGCAACAGTCCTACCACAATTTAGGTGGTTTTCTAGCACGTCATGAAGTCATAACATCTTGTTTTCGAAGCAACAGCAATTAGTGATTGTCAAAATAATACTGCTACAGAGCAATCAACTGAAATGCACATTGGTTTGGCAATGCGTCCCATGTGAGGAACCTTAAAATGGCATCTGCAGAGCTTCAAACGCATCCACCAGATGAGCTTAAAGAGAGCAGCTTTGAAGCTCTTATAATTAAAAGCAAAGCGGAGCAGAAATACACATCCCACTGAAGTCTGGAGGAAATGACTCCAGTGTTTGGGACAGTGGTTGCTTAACGGATGCAGTTACAGGAAGTCAACATATAACCCAAAGAAACATCACTTATTTATTAAGATTTGATTAGTGAAAGGTGTTCGGTAAATACTGAATAATCAGACAAGCGTTAATGTACCTGTGAATGGTGTGTTCTAGTGTTTTGACGTGAAGTTCATCTTGCTCAACCTGTTTCCTACGACCTTCCTCTTCATCTTGTGGCACCGCTGGTGACCCCTGCAGAAGCCATCTCTCCCTCGTGGCTTTAGACTGTAAGGAAAAAAACAGGTTCTGGTCAGGTCATTGATCTAGATCAGTTGGGATTGCGCTTGGCCAGCTACAGAGAAACTGGTAACCAGGCAACAGGGAAGTGACCAATCCTGAACGGTGACATCACTGCATGGTTCAGCGAGGTTAGCCAGCCGTGATGATAATTCTGGGCTGAGAACGGTTTGTAATTGTGGCGTGCCGAACCGAACCAAGCTCAAGTGGATAGTGTATATAACAGGAACCGTTCCTTACCGTTCTTAGAACCGTTCGGCCCGATGGTGGAAAAGCGGCTATAGTGACATAGAGTTCTGCTGAAATGAGTCCTAACACCTGGAAACGAGCATTTTTGTACTTCCGTTTTCCATCGTCCCAAAGTCAGAGGGTTTTTTGGTTAAATGACTGAAACAAGCTCTGTTTTTAACACAAGCTCAAGATATTTTCACATTATATATTGTTTGACATAGTTCATCAGTAATACCCCACTCCTGATGTTTTAAAAGCTTTTACGTGTCTCTAAGTTAATAAGTAATGCTTTTTACAATAGAAACGAATCAATAGAAAAAAACGTACTAAAGCAAGACAACGACATTCTTCTAGAGCTGCTGTACTGCCAAAACAATCTTTGCATTCATTTGCTATTACCACTGTAAAGCTGCTTTGAAACAATCTGTATTGTAAAAAGCGCTATATAAATGAGGGTGACTTGAATTGTCTTGACTGCACTAAAATGTGCTTCAAAGATGGCAACATACCCAACAAATGTGTCCAAGTGAGGTGCAAGTTCATCCATCAATTCATAATTAATCAGTATTTGTATCTGCCCTGCTGAAAAAGAAACAGCTTTGACAAAAAGCTGATAAAGTCTGACAAAGGGGTTTGGATGGGCTTGGGAGACCTTCTGACCAGATTTTTGGTTGAAGCCTTTGGAGTAGACATTTAGAGTATAAAACTGGTGGAAGGATCTCTATGGAAGACAGCAACTAGATCTTAAACCTTTGGGACATGGCTACTATCTCCATCTCTGTGAGCTTCTAAAACCCCACTTGAAAAAAATGTGAGGTCAATTCATTTATAGAATGTCAATCCGTACCACACCGTAAACCGTATTTAGCTCTACAAGCAGTACTGCTGCTGGGTGAATGTAGCCTAAATGTACCAGCTGAATCTAAAACAGGATTTTAGTTCATGCTTTAGTCAGCTCATTATTGTGTGGACTGTGGTTTACCAAAGAAAACTCTTTTTATGTGCATTGTTTGACATTTAAGTTCAGAATATAAATGTCATGTGTTGCCACATTCTTATGTAAACTTGAATACATTTAAAACCTGTCCAACACGAGCAGCTGTTAAGGAAGTAACCAGCTGTGGTTGAGCTGACTCTAGCTATGTGAGCTATGAGGTCTCTCAGGACCTCTTTCACCTAGTCATCACCTCCACGAAGGTCAACCACAGGAACTCAGGAACGCTCAGGACTGTTTCACAAGCTGCCGAAGGTATGCGCTCTTAGATTTCAAGTCTAAAACAGTGTTCAAATCATTGTGCTTAAACACAAATGTTTTGATTTAAGATTTTCATAACTTGACAATCGCATTATATTCTTAAAGGTTTGCTTGTGGAAAGCTGTATTATGTTTTATTACATGGCTCTCTGGGATAATTGATTGTGATTGGGCAATTGTGGCATTCTGCCATAAAATATATAAAGACAGCTAAACTGTATAATAGTATGTATACATAATAACTGTATAATAATTTATTTGGTTAGCCGTTTAATAAGCGTGATAATGTATGGTCAGCCTGTCATTATAAACCTTTTCTGATCCTTACAAAGCCTGATCCTTACTGACCAACCAGTGGGAAGTTTTTGGCCGGTAGAATGTGTACTATATTGTTGCTGTAAGGCGGACAATCTCAATTTTTCGATCTTTTAAGTCTTTACGACTGTGATGGGATTTTGGGAAAGCCCCAAAACAGCAATTCTGTTTAAAGTATACCCATACGTAACTAGAGAGATAACTCTGAGTATGAACACCTTGGAGACTGACATTTTAAAACTTCAAGACTTCGCTGAGTCAACTGGTGCCCAGGGTTAGATTCTCTCTCAAATAAAAAGACACAGTTGTCTGAATTACACAGGGGTCTCTGGTCAGGTCGAGGTTCCAGAGTGTGGACCAGATCTCTTTTCTTTTTTGAAAAGAAAAAGTGTGGACCAGATTTATTGGCTCTTTTTCAACTTGGAGAAGAAGAATGGTCAGAGCAGAGCCATCCATCCAGTCTGGAGGATTATTAACAGACCCTGCAGACATTCATAAGAGAGCAGTTGTTTTTTATGTGAACTTGTATAAAAATGAACTTGGGGTGTAATACAGGAGTGACAACGACTTTTTAAAAGACTTATCCCAAGTGTCTGAGGAAGCCAGTGCTGAGATCTCCGGCGCTTTGAGCATGGGCGAACTGTACAAGGCCCTCCAAGGAATGGAGTCTGGAAAGGCGCCGGGCATTGACAGCCAACCAGTAGACTTTTATATGTTTTTCTGGTCAGAATTGAGAGAGGACCTGCTGGAGGTGTTGAACAAAAGCTTGGCTGAAGTCCAGCTGCGTCTGAGCTGCCGTAGAGCAGTGTTGACCCTCCTGCCCAAGAAAGGCCACCTTACAGATATCAAGTGCTGGCGGCCCGTATCACTACTTTGTAGTGACTACAAACTGCTCTTGAAAACCCTGGCTAACAGGTTAGCAGGAGTGATGGATTGTGTCATCCATCTTGACTAGACTGGTAGGTAAATATTTGACAATGTTTCATTGGTTCGTGCTGTTTTAGAGGTCTCCAAGATGTTGAATTTAGATTGTGGGTTAATCTCAATAGATCAGGAGAAAGCATGTTGAGCATTGCTATTTGTGGAGAGTTTTAGAGGCCTTTGGGTTTTGCCAAAATGTTATAAATCATATTAAAGTTCTTTATAGTGGCGTTGAGAGTATTCTTAAGGTGAACAGTGGTTTATTTGCTCCATTTAAAGCATATAGAGATGTTAGGCAGGGGTGCTCTTTGGCAACAGTACCACTTTTACAACAAATAAGGGTCAAACTTCATGGTATATGCTTGCCAAACTTATATTGTCAGCTTATGCCAATGATGTTATAGTTATGATTAGCAGGCAAAGTGACATACGTTAAGTTTGTCACTTATGTTTTAGGTAAACTTATGTTAAGTTTACCTAAAACTTTTAAAGGTTTATCTTCTGCGAGTGCAAACTGGAGTAAAAGTGAAACATTATCATTAGGTAAATGCACAGTTGGGAAACCAGATCCTCCTGAAGATTTAGGTTGGGGGAAATTAGGTTTTAAATACTTAGGAATGTTTCTTGGTGATGATTGGGATTGGGAAAAATTGGGAAGGAGTCATTGAAAAAGTTAAAGTTCGCCTGGATAAATGGAGATGTTTTATTCACAAAGATGTCATACAGAGGGTGTATATTAATTATAAATACTTAGTTGCTTCTTCATTATGGTTTGCATGTATTGATCCTCCCTCACATCTGTTATTGAAAATCCAGGCGATTTTAGTGGATTTCTTTTGGGATAAACTGTATTGGGTCCCACAGAACCGAATACTTGCTGAATACATGGCCTAATACATCTTCAAAGTAGAATAGCAACCTTTCGGTTGCAATTCGTACAAAGACTATTAGTTGGTTCAGTTGAATTAAAATGGTGATTTTACATAATCTTGAGATTCTGGGACTAGACAAAACTCTTTTTAATGGACCCTATTAAATTGAACACTTCTGGTCTACCAATGTTTTATAGGAAATTTTTAAAGTTTGGAGTCTTTTTGTTTAAAAAAACCCCCAGAGAGTTCACAGTCTCTTTATTGGCTATAAGAAGAGCCTTTAGTTCGTGGAGCACTTTTTCTAGGACTCAACAAGACATAATACATAATGATAATAAAGCCAATACCTTGGGCCAATTACTGGATATATCAGGACTTGATTTCAAGAATAAAGAAGCAACAGCTCAGCGTCTGGGAATCCGTCTTGTTGCGTAGCTATTAATGAAATGGCAGACAGTTCTTAATATAACGGAAATAACTTTGCCGACTGAGTATTGTAATGGTGGTGGGGGGATTTTAACTGTATGGAAAATGTAATAGTATTTTATATTAGATTTAGTATATATAGTAAATAGTCAGTTGTGATTTGCTTTCGAAGCACAGAAAACACCATCTTCTCGACATGTCGAACAACACGAACCAAACTCAGTCTCAGCTACAATTACAGTGTTTTTTGAAGGTCAAGGTAGACGTCGTTTGCAGACAGCCAATGAAGACCACAGGCTGGCATTATGCACATTTCCTACAAACCTACATCGGTTAGAGCAGGAAGACTGGGATTACTGATGACTAGTTTCAGGCAGATCAAAATCGATTCTTTTTTGGGAGACAATAACTTTATTTGTTATGCACTTAAGCATAGTAGGGGCATTTAAAAAAAGTCTTCTGTAAAGAGTTATAAGTCAGGAACCAACCAGCTACGAGGAAAATCACATCAGCAAAAAAGCATTTGGACAAAAATGGTACAATGTGCTTAACAGAAAAGAACTACAATCCCATGACAATTTGTGAACTAATTGAATTTAAAAAAAAGAGATTTATTAAGCTATTAATTTAAAGACATTAAATTAAGATTTTATTTATACAGTATATGAGGCCTGATTTTAATCCATTTCTCTATAATTAAAGGGATTTTTACTTCTGGAACCTGACTACTACACTATAATTATATATATTTTTAATGAATGTTTTGTTTAGTATCTGCACTGCACAGATTTTTTGTCTTTATGTTTAGAATTTCACAAAGTATTTTAACCTTCTATGAGAAAATAAACTGAGAAACAAATCTTTCGGATGGCTCTCACAAAATCTAGACATTCATCACAGTCATTGCAGCTGTACTTTCCGATGAGAACTTGCTTACACCCACTACTAAACAAACATCTCTCTTCCTGGATGTGCTCCTCTTTCTCAGTCAAGTCTTCAATTAAATTCAGCTCTTTAAAAAAACATTCTCATTCATGATAATACACATTCACACTATAGCTGTGAAGATCACCCATAATTTGCGCATGCGATTAGCTAGGTAATTGTCAAGGTTTGTAGCTGTTGTGTTCTTCATGTTCTTCATGAAACATATTCACAATAAGCTATTACTATTATCTTGTAGTCTCTCTGCGGTCTTTATAAAAGTCTCACAGTAGAGCATTATCCAATCTTTGTTTCTTTTCCCTCAGGTCCTTCTCTCCTGAGTCCTAGACAAAATCTCTTTCATGAGTGACTTTAAACTGAGGTTGATTTTTTTTTTTGTATAAACTAACCGCCATAAAATTCGGGTGATAACACTACAGAGTAATTCTCTGTAAATGAGGCAAACCTCTGGCTATCTGATAACACACTCAAGTGTTATAGAGTCAGACATGTTGGCCTGACTCAGACTCCAGTAGAGAGACAAGATTATCATCAAGAAAAAAGAAAGAAAGAAATTACTTTCAAACCCACATCCTCCCCTTATATCCTGTAAGGATCGTCTCAACTCGCATTTCTTGGAAAATCTGTGCATTTTGTTGATGTTTTACAGAATTATGTTTACGAATGTTCGGACCTCGTGGTCCATCCAAACATTCCTCTCGCTCTCTGCCATTTTCTGATCACATGATCTGTTGAGGCAAGGTCACATGACTTTGACAAATTCTGATTGGACCTAAAAGGATACGATAAACCAGGCATCCGACACATTTTATTTATTAATTTGCTGTACTGGGTGCAAGGTCAACTTTCAGAGATGATATAAAGAGTTGTTTTACCTTGAAATGTTGAAGTTGTAGAACAAGTTCATCGAGTTGTCTTCTTTTGTCCTCTATCTCGGCTTGTCTTTTCCGTTTTTCCTGAAAATATAATAGAAATGTTGCGTTAAGCTACTGAGAGTAATGTCATTTAAAAGAATTTAAATCAGAAATAAGTTCATTTCATGTGACAATAAGACTGAATAAGTTTAGCTTAGTGCATGCAGAGTTTCAATTCATTTTAATGCATTATTAGAAGCTTGCTTGACAAGTATTTTTGCATCGCATCGAGATAATCCCATCTAAAAGTATCTTCAAGGTTTCTATCTGAAATAAAGATGTTTAAGCTTTGTTTGTGATATTTGGAAAGGCAATCATACTCTTTTAGCTATTCATAGCTAAATACTTCAGCATTTGTTTTACTGTGAATGACAAATGATTAAAGCAGGAAGTCATCTATTTCCAATAGTGAGTTACACAGGGGACAAAACAATTGTTTAGGTTGTTTAACATGGCAAGCACGTGAAAGTTTGTATGAAAATATGACTTATCACATCATAACCTGAACTCCACAAGTTTTTTACATTCCTCTCTGCAGGGTATCTACTTCTTATTCACTTTACATGAGCGTAGAGGAAAGCCGAGCCACATTTGTAGGTTATTCAGGTTCTTGAGCGAGTTCAAATATCTTGGCTGGCTTCGACACCGTTTCACGAGCACATTCCAGCACAGAGCACTGCTGAAGGAAGCATGCGCTCTCCACGGAGGGAAAACTGATATGTTATCCAGATGTGAACAAATGTGCCTCTAAAAACGGACCCTTACATATCTGTCAGTGAAGGATGCCACTGGATTTTACACGAAAGCTACTGGAAATGGCTTACAAGGATTTTCATGTCCTCTTTTTAAAAGCTGAGTATGCTAACTGAAACATAATCCCTGATTTTGACATGTTGAGAAGGAGAAAATAAGGGGAAAGACCAGATTACCGTCTACTCTAATTTACCGTTCTGCAAAATAACCCATCAAATGGGTGATTTAATTTGTAGTGGTTGGTATTTATATATCTCTGACAGCCTCTAAAACATTAACCTAACCACAACCTAAATGAATAGATTTAATGTGTAAATATAGATACAAAACAGTGACAATAAACCTAAAAACAGTTGGAAAATGCCAAGCTAATTTCTTGTTGATATTTTAAAATGATATTTTTGGCACATGGCCAAAAATATTTAAGTAAAATAACAACTAAAATATATTGAAATGCATAAACATGAATATATATATATATTAGCAAAATGTAATATATATTTGGGGCCTTTTTATATTTGAAAATGAATCACAATGTATATCAAAAGTATATTTATGTACTGTATGCATTTTGAATATCGTGGTTGCGTCCTTTATAAACGCAGATGATTCTGTAATGTGCATCACAACATAAACTCTGAATCTATGCAAGCAATTTCTCATGTGAGCGCAGGGCTGTAATTACACCGGCAGTGCGTTCGTCACCGGTTACATGCCCTACAGACTGGCACGACACTCCACGCCCCTCTCATCTGGAGAGAATACTGAGGCCAGATCTATTTCACACCAAGAATGCTGACCCATACCAGAGCTCAGAGTAACATGCAGAAATAGGCCAGCAGCAAGAGACGTTCCTCGGACACGTAATCTGTGGCCCAGTTACCCTGAAATATCACTCACGCGGAGGCTAATTTCCAGACAGACCGTAGCATCTGTATGTGAGTTGAGTATGAAAACAGGTAATAAAAATGCTTGTGACGTTGAGCCTGTTGGGCTAGTGAGACCCAAAACAATGAGGATTTGTTTTCCAGCTCAAATGGAAAACATCTGCATGGCATTACTAAAGCCACCCCCTCCATCCCGACGGATGGCATCGAGCCTCAAAGACCAAACACCCCAGGGCCTTTCTTGAGTTCATTAGCTTTTCTTCTGCTACAGACAAAATATAAGAGATTCCCAGAGACCCAAAGCTTAACAAAAACAACTGGAAATCACTATAGCTGAGTTTAAGTTCAGAGGGTGAAAATCTTGGCCATGTTCTCAAACACAGGCCACCCCCCCCCCCCCCCCCTTCCCCTGTTGTGTGTAACAAACTAGAGTTCAGTGCATAGATGCATAGATAAGCATAAGTTGAAAGTCACAAATATGATTGTGTAGATATAGTGAAGACTAGGTGGGAAAAGATGGTCTGTGATTAAGGGGCTGTTTACATGACACCGTTTTCAACTAAAAACAGAAAACTTTTTGTGCGTTTTTGGTCATTCATTAATTTACATGACAACTGGAGGCCTGGATACGCAAACTTTTGAAAACAGGATTCAAAGTGCAAGGTTTTGAAGTTTACTGTTATGGTCTATTACGCATGTCTATTACGTATTCAGTCTATAGGCGTACAGTGTTTCTTTACAAAGTGACACAGCTAACTACTGGCCTGGCGTGAATAATACAGTGTTTTTAATCATGTTTGCTGATCCCTGTGAACAGGGATCATTTTGACCATGTGCTAATGAGTTTGAGTTATGGATTATTCAAAAGTTATCAGCATTTTTGGAAATGTTATTATAACTTTGACCACAAGGTGGCGCTTCCCTTTGTGGCGCTGCCCTGCCGCATGGTGGTGAAGACACATTCCTAGTTTTGTAACGATACGCCAATGCGTTCATAAAATATAGCATTTTTCGACAAAATTCAAGATGGCCAACGCCTAAAATGGCCGATATGAGTAAATTGGGTATCTTATGACTCAGCATGCTGTACCGAATCTGGGCACAGTGTTCAGAAGTTATAAGCAAAAATAGCCATTTTTCATACCTCCTGACCACTAGGTGGCACTTCGCTGAAACTGTGCAGACAGACTCAGGTCATGGTTGTCATAGTCTCAGCCTCAGACGTCACTCCCACGGAACGTTTGCTAAAAGTCTGATGCATATGGTACACTTAACTGGAAACACTTCAGGAATGTCGAAGTCGTCATCTGATTGGTTGAATTTTGTCGGATTTCCGGGGGGCGCGAGTGTCGCGTTTATTTTCGGTACGTCGGGAAACAAAGCGCAGACGTGTGATTGCGGAAGAAAAACTGTTGTGTTTACATTAGTGACATTGAGCATTTATCAAGATCAGCTAAACGTAGGATTCTCAAAAGTATGCAAGGTTCACGGCATAGACTCTTGAAGTTTTCTTCTCCTTCTTTGATTTTCTATGCTGACTGACTTGTTGCACGCAGGTCTGTTGTTGTGGGGACATTTCCACGCCCCGAAACATGACGCTGAACGAAACGAACTGTAATTGGTTGTTTGACATGTCGGTCAAACGGCCTTATGGGCGGGCCTTGGCCAAAGAAAGCTGCTATGAATTCCAGACCTTCAGCCATCAGTCTGAAGGTCTGGCTACGCGAGACTATGGTTGTCATAACACACACCAAGTTTGGTCAGAATATGCTAAAGCGTTGAGGAGATATGGCCTCACATTCATTTTGGTGGGAATTTCATTGAATTCGTTCACGAGTTATTCGAGAACTGTATGACGAATCGACTTGAATTCCATTACTTTTTATCATGGTCTTAAGATGATCTGGTTTAATATCAATCGAATTTGCTTGAACCAATGAATCAGAGGAAAAAATAATTTCATTTCTAGCCCTTACCGTTCAAAAGTTATAGTATAAACAGGAGTGCAAATTTGGACAGTTGGTGGCGCTAGAGGGATTGAGTTAGAGACTCCAAATTTGCTCTGTTGACAGCTCACACTGTCCTCTATCTGTGTGCCAAATTTCATAACATTCCTTCAAGCGATTCTATGGGCTGCCATAGACTTACAGAGGGGAAGAAGAAGAAGAAGAAACAGAAGAATAATAAGAACGCCAAAGGATATATCTACTCACCTTTGGTGCTTGGCCCCTAATTAAATGCAAGAACTTTAAATGTAATTACAATACACCAACATGTGCACTTTTAATAAGTAAAATGCATCAAATGGCTAAGTACATGGTATTATGATCACCTATAATATAAAGTGTGATCATGAAACATTTATTTGGAATCATTGGATTAATATTAAGAATTTCACCGTTTTAGCTCTTTGACAGAAACTTTACCATTGTCTCGATGTAGAAAGTGTGTTAATTTATATGATACATATAATAAATCCCACTAAAATAAAGCATGTCTATGAGGTAGGATTTCTCTTAATTTGTGAAATATGAAAATGCACTAATTTTGAAGAAATGTAAAAATTTCCCAAATGACAATGACTACAATTCTGATCAGTAATTGCAAATATCATTTGGAACAAATTAATGGTGATTAATAGTTTAACCATTATTTGTGCAGCATTACTTAATGTGACTAAAATATGACTAATGTTTTCATTGACAAAGTAAATTGGCCAAACTTGAAGTCAACTAAAGCAAAAAGCAGCATGCAAAAAAGCAATAAATGAATGAAAGAAAAAAGATAAGGTTGATTAAATATGATAAAAGCTTAAACTATTTGACACTGACTCTGAACTTCTGGGCACCAACCACAATAGCAAAAATGGCGACTCAAAAACATTCCCAGAACACTTTGCATTTGGTTGGGCAAACAGACAGTACAGCACTAAACTTGCAAGTAAACTAATTGCTGCTTTACTTGTAGTTTTTTTCTGCATATTAAGCTGGGAAATATGATTTTAATGCATTTTAAAGATAGTTTATTTTAGGGTAATGATTTTTGCTAGATGCTTCCACTTGAACATAAATTGTAAACAGTACGTTGCATGGTGGTCTTGCTCACTAGCAGAGAAGTACACACTGGTGAAGTATGCCAGATGGGATGTAGCTATGAACTAGAAGCCGATGGACACGACTAAACATTCCCCGAGGTCAAGAAACGGTCCATTTCCTCTATTGTGTGTGACCAATGACCCGAGCCGCCACAGTGTGTGTCTCTGTTGACTCCTACAACCGACGCCTCCAATGCAAGCAATGCTGACATTTCTGATCGAAATGCTCTATAACAAAGACAAACTAATTGTGTAAGCTATATCACTTGTGTTCTTTGTGTCGCTTTTCTACCAAAAATGTCTTTACT